AAAATCGAATAATAATACGACCGACTCGAATCGTATACCATTAGATTACCCAAGTACCCAGCTATTTTTTTTCGTATGATATGTATCAGGGAGACGTAAAATGTACTATTGCGGTAGAAACGATTCGATTTAAAATTCATTAAAAATCAAAATATTGTACTACAACTTAGACAATCATATCACTGGATTTGTTAGGGTCTCTACTATGCTGGGGATGCATTTTGGATACTTTCAATTTGCATAAAGTTGTGGTGGGGGGCGAGTTATCCAGAAAATAATACTTTGTTCAGGATTACTACGGTAAAATACCACGTTTAGCCACCACTACTTTTCAATTTAATTTCAGCTTCGAAAGACATAATATTTATTATTTTTTTAGTTATAGACAAATCGAATATACAAAACAATACACACAACAGTCATATGAAGATCGACTGATGATACGTTCCCCATTTTGTAATCAAGAATTTATATTTGAATTTACATTACTATTTCACATTTTTCATCATCATTGTACCAATCCTCTATGCCCATCAATTAGAGTACGCCGTCGGGAAGTAAACAATCCATTATATTCTTACATTAAATAAATGGCAATTTAGCAAATGCTGTCTAGAATTATATTATAATATTAATTTATTTATATAAAATAAATTTTATTTTAAAAGGATTTAGTAATAATGATTGCATCCGCAGTTCAAAGATTCACTGTAAGAGGGACAACAACAAGTGTATGCTTAATGAATTATATATGCAGCTATGGGGCACGTATTAATTTAGAAGAATTCTATGAATTTTTGATTGTTAACTTGGGCGCAATACAATTCATGCTGAATTCTCAAACTAATGTATGTAACAATTTTTACATATGAATAAACATGAACTACTGGATATTTCTAAAAATAACCCAAAATTTTTATTCATTGTTCTCACTGCATTATGATGTTGTTTTTGTTTTGTTTTTATGTTGTGGCTTTTACCGATAATAGTCTAATCGTAAAATATTCTTCGATGTATGAAGTATAAGATTATAATTGTGGTGCATACGGACAGTAACCGTTTGTCTTTTAAGAGATACAGACGATTTTCGTGAACCTACACGTATGTGTAGGTTAGTTGTTTATTTATATTTTTTCTTGTGATCACATTATTTTATAACTTTGTTTTAAAATGCGTCGTGCGAAATTGAATGCGAGTGATATACTTTCCGTTTTAAACGACAAATCCGAATTTGACGATTTTAGTGATGATTCTGATGTTGACAGAACATGGCAACCTACAATTTCAACAAATATTGAACAATCAGACTGTTCTGGATTGGATTCTAATGAAGATCAGGTTAATGCTATTTTTAATACAGATGACATAAATATTACAAATATTAACAATGATGTCATTATAAGTGATATTTACAATAATATTAATACAAATCACGTTAATGTAACTTCTAATTCTAATGATGGTATTAACATCTTAACTACAAATGCTCCCAATAGTGCTCAAGTTTCACCAAACATAGGATGGTCTCAAACTTTATAGTATACTTAACTTTATTAGTAATTAACGTATTAAAAATGTTTATTGTTTATTTGTGTATAAATATAGCTGATAATGTTATGGGCTACGATAGTATATATAATATAATATGTAATATTGTTGGAAGGATAATAAATCATTCTAATTCATCATCATAATTCAAAATAGCAGTCATTAAAATGTCGAGGTCATTTAAATGTATTATTGCATTTCCACAAATTGCCAATTAAGAACAGAAGACATCCTGGAGATTGTTGTTTTCAAATGTGAAAACAATTCCAAGAATTAATATGAATTAGAAGGTTGTCGACTACAACAACAAGAGACTTCTTTGTATATAAGGGAGTCCAGAGACCAACAGGGGCAGATGTACCAGAGCCACGAAGACCTGAGCAACTTCACGACACTCAGCCACTTTTTGTATCAGTTACATGTACTTCATTTATACGTAATAAACACATTATTGTTCTTAAGAGTTGTAAATTTCATTTAAATAACACCCTGAGTCTGGATCTGATATTGGTACGCAACACTATAGTGATTAGCGAGTTTTTGTACGACGGCTAACGTCACGGACAATTTACTCCCACTCCCACATTTTCATAATTTTCGAATTGAGGCAACCTCTATTATCTATAAACCTTGGGTAAACACGAGGTCGGAGGTAAAGTGTGAGTAGGGTGCAGTTGTCCGAAAAATATATACAGTGAAAACTGTCTAAAGCGGACCCTGAATAAAACGGAAAACGATCCAATACGGAATTTTTCTATGGTCCCGGCACGTTCCTATAGTTTTATATAGACGCTCAACTTCAATAAAACGGAACGATTTTGTAAGTCCCTTGCTAGTAAAAACCTTGCATAAACCGGAAAAATGACATGAGCGTATCAAATCTAAACCAAAAATAAGGTATAAAATATAGATATGCCGGTGTACAATGTACATAGTTAAATAGTGATAGATAAAGAAGATAAAATTGTTCTATAGGTACATATTCGTAAATATAATATGTACATTGTAGTATTGTACATACAATGCATATTATCGCATCTTAAACGATACGAAATTTCTTCTTTGTAACTGTGAAACAGTCTTACACCAACAGTCGTACGTACACTTTTAATTTTATTTTATCTTCCGTTCATCGCATTAAATATTAAAATGCCAAAATATAAGTGTATTTCATTAAATGAAAAATATCAACTGATCAAATTTAATGAATTTTAATGAATTATATTATGTATTTAAAACAATAAATTGAGAAATATTCTTTGATATTTCTTATTCAATTGAATTAAATAATCCGAAATTTTTTTGTTAGTCCCATGCGATTCCGCTTTAGACAGTTTTGACTGTATTAAAATATTTTTATTTGTAAGGTAATAATGTTTTACTAAATGATAATTATTATATTATTTGATAATAATTTACAAGAAAAATTTCCAAAATCTAAATTCCAAGTATAATATACAATTTTAAGTTTGAACATTTACATTCCCAATAATATTATTACTCAAACTTTTTATAGCTAACATAAACAAGTTTAAGTTTCTTTTTATGCCTTATAAATCTGCCTTTATATTTTACTTTAATAGGTAGTATTTTTTTTATTTTTTTTTATTAATGATAAGGCTTCAACATTAAAGTCATTAGCCGGAAAACATGTTTACAAGTTATTTACAATCATCTTAATATTAATATTTAAATAAAGGAAGTACAGTATAATACAGGTATATGGTGTTAATGGTATAGGTAATAACAATATATAATTATTTAAATTCTATTATAGAGATTAGTTATTTTAAGGAATGTTATTAGGTGGTTAAAAGGTTAAGCGCCAAGCCAAAAAATTGAGTTTTGAATATAGTGCCACGTAGGGTCTATTAACCCGTCGAAGTGACTTGTAAATAGCGCCACGTAGGGTTTTGAAGCCCGTCATGCAGTACTTGTCTTTATCGCCACGTAGGGTCTCAAAAACCATCATTTTACATGTTTTCTTACGGAATTCAAATAGAGCGTGGCCTGCAGGGCAAGTTTGTAAAATGGTTCATTGAAATATCCCGGCGTTTTAATGATATGGCCAAATGTATAAATAGAAAATGTTTGGAAAATTTCCATCGTTTTCGATTAGTAATCGAACGATTATTTTATCAGTTTTAATAATATTATAAGTGGTAAACCTATTGTAATATTACGATACAACACAGTTGGTCGAGTAACGTGTTGCGGGATTGACATTTTATTATTTGTATGTTTTAAAATGGACGAACGCATAGTTAATTGGCTGAACAACAGTGATTTTGAATTTGATACAGATGAGAGTGAGGATGAGGTAAGAAATATTATAATCATTGTACTGTTTAAACATATAATATATTTATTTGTAAAATATAGGTCGATGATTCCGATATTGATCCAGATTATTTCCCAAACCATCAGCCTAATGAAGAACAAAATATAGGGAATTGTGACGATGATATTGAAAATTATGTCGACGAAAATGCTCAACTCATAGCTGATGAATTCGAAGATGATGTTAATGTCAATACGCCAAACAATGAAATTACATGGGGACCAGTAACTGGTAATCTAAATACAATAGCTTACAACCCACTTAATTTAGACGTTGGTATTAATCCTGATATTATTTATTCTATGGAAGATTGCGCTCCAATAGATTTTTATACCTTATTTTTTGATGAAAATGTACTAGATTTTCTAGTTTCTGAGACCAATCGTTATGCACACCAAATAATAAATTCACGTAGATTATCAAAATGTTCTCGTTTGAAAAAATGGACTCCTATTGACCGTACTGAGATGAGAAACTTTTTAGGACTTATTGTATGGATGGGATTAGTGAATATGCCAAGTTTAAGAGATTATTGGAGAACAGACTTCCTTTATAAAACTAGAGTGCCAGAAGTAATGAGTCGTAACAGATTTGAGTTGATTCTAGGAATGTTTCATTGTGGAAATAATGAAATAATTGAGCATGATAGGCTAAATAAAGTACAACACCTAGTTGATATGTTAGTAGCCAATTTCAATAAATGGTACATTCCTGAAGACAAAGTGTGTATAGACGAAAGTGTGGTTCCTTTTATAGGACGATTAGTTTTTAGACAATACCTTAAGAACAAAAAACATCGTTATGGAATTAAAATATTCAAATTATGTTCGAAAGATTTTTATACTTTGCGTTATAACATTTATGCTGGGAAAGAAGTAGTGAGAGAAAATGACGTATCTTACAAAATTGTATTAAAGTTAATGGAGCCATATCTTAACTTTGGACGAACCTTGTATACTGACAATTGGTATTCGAGTGTTAAGTTAGCTGAAAAACTTAACCTAGAAAATACACATTTGGTGGGAACTCTTAGGGCCAATCGTAAGAATAACCCGGAAAATGTAGTTAAAAAAAAATTAAAAAAAGGAGAGGTAATTGCTTCACAGAGCAACAACAACGTAGTTATTCTTAAATGGCGGGATAAACGTGACATTTTATTAATCACAACCAAACACTCTGACCAAATCATAGAAATACAAAAAAGGGACAAGATAATAAAAAAGCCACTCGTTGTCGAAGATTATAATACAGGAAAATCGTACATAGACCGTTCTGATCAAATGTCATCTTACAGTTCACCTTTGAAAAAGACTATTAAATGGTATAAAAAAGTAGCATTTGATATTCTTCTATCCACAGCATTGGTCAATGCATTATCATTATTTAAGTCTGTAACCAAAAATAAATCCATAACAATAACTACTTTCAAAGAAGAAATTATCAAGCAGCTACTATACAAACCAAATGTTCCTCAACCTATTTCACCAGGCTTAAAACACTTACTAGTTACAACACGACAAAAAAGAATGTGTAAGCTGTGTTATGCGCAGAAGTCGGAAAATCTTGGTAGATTAGAAGCTCAAAATAAAACAAGAAAAGTATTTACTTATTGTGAAGGATGTAAAATACAAATGTGTAGAGATTGCTTTATAAAAAAACACAAAAACGTATTGTAGACATTATTTAGTTATAATTATT